GAAATACGTCTTCTTAATATATGATAAAATACCTTAAATAATTTGCATTATGGAATAATATATTATATTATACTGACATGATATTATGATGTACTTATATGACTTATAATATATGAGATATTGGAAACGTTTGTTAAATCACATTTGATAATAAGGTCATTATAATTCGCATGCAAAATTATAAATGCGTAAAAAATGTGACACCTAGAGTATTTCGATTTTATGTTCAATATAATATGATAAAGTTATTAACCATATTATTTTWATAAGAATTTTTATATAATACACGTGTGTATACGTTTTTTATAAATCAATATTATTATTTTCAAAGAGAATTGTTCACCATATGTTGGTAGGTAAGGTATATGTATTATATTCCTAGTTTTAATTTTTAACTATTATTCCTTGGCATTAATTAATATATTATAATCAGTTGTAAATATTACAAAACAAAATACAGCCTGTATAAATTATAAGCACAGTACTTACATTAGTTTGAAAGTTTTTCTTTTTAATGAACGCATTACCTAATCAATCTATAATAGTTCATCGGTCAAAATTCGACCGGAAATATTGTTTTGATTGTAAAATCAACACATTCTAAAACATTGGATTTCTTATCGCYTTTGAGTCCACGCAATTTGGTATTGGCGTTTATGCTTGTTCTTTTTCACTGGTATATACGAGAAAAACTACTATTTTATTTTATAAGATTTATACTTTGTATCATACTTTACTTCGACCGGGAAAATTATGTTTTTGAATTTTATTTTACTGAACAGATTACATCACTGCTGCATTACTATTTTCGTATTTCACCTATAATAACCACGACATATTGCATTGAGTACAGTTTTATTTTGTGCAACTTTAGCACATGAGCCAACAATATCCTTCTATTYTTCAATGATAATATTATATTTCTTTTTTCTTTACTATATGTATACAGGCGGAGTTATTAGTATTGGCACTACAAAAAAGCGCATGTTAAAAATTGTTATATTATTATATAATATAGATTTATTTATTTATTCCGAGAACAAATTATTTTTCGAATACTGTTTTAACAATTATTGTAGATGAATAATCATTCTGATAATATAACTTAATATAATCTTTGCAAGGGTTATGATATAATATGTAAAATATATTTTTTTAATTTTTGTTTGAAAAATATAAATTAATTATTGTTTTAAATTTTACAACTTTAGGTTCTGATCGGAATGATGTGAATGTTTTGATTTAATATATTGATGTTAGAATGATGGGATTTTTTTTTTGGTCTGTAAGTTTCACAGTAAGTTGTCGAAATCATGCTTCAATTTTAAACTCCATTAACTTTTCTGGTGAAAAGTAAATCTAGTTAATACCTTTGAGAGTTAAGAATTGAAAGTTCATAATAGCTATCAAAAGTATCTAGACAAACAGAAAAAAAATTAAATTAAATTAAATTTTTTGACAAAATCTATTATGGGTTTCTGTGCAATTCTAAAAATAAAAAACACAGATACACAAATCTCTATCTGTTATTTATATAATTTTACATGGTGTATAAGAAATGATAATTATTTTT